TAGCTACCAATGTATAAAATATAGCAATAAATGACTCCTGAAAGCACAGACTAAAAATACAGCCATAAAAATGCCATTAAGCAGCATATCACAATCCGAAGTGCTGCAGGCATCCTGTCCCAAAGGCCTGCCAGAACATAAATGTTCTTTGCTGGCATCTGAATAAAGTTGGGGAGGAGCCAACCTGACCTGCAGAGAGAATAAATTCCACAAAGAGGATGCCGCCACCAAGAAGCCCCCGCCCTCAGACCATCCTCAATGGGGGGGCCACAGGCAGAACCTCCCCCCCCCCCCAGACCTCCTAACGCCCAAGCTGGTCAGCACTGGGCAAGACGCTCCACTGAGTACTGGGCTCTTAGTCATTCAGGGATTTGTACATTAGTATCAACCCTCTGAAACTGGGCCAGATCATTTCGTTGATGAGATATGAGCCTGTCTTGCCATTCTAGATAATAAATGGGCAGTAGCATTCTGTACCAGCTTCAGCTTCCCAAAGCACTTGGGCAAGAGGATGCCAATGTGCCAGGACCTCTCCGGCCACAGAGGCTAAGCTGCCCTTCTCGGAATCCAGCTCGGAAGCCCCAGCGAAACCATCATCTTTCCTGCTCTACTCAACAACTGCTAGCTAAAGCCAGCTAGGCTGCTTTAATTGAAGAAGTTTCTGCCACCAAAGACAGAGCAAGACACTGAGAGAGAGCTGCAGCTCTTGTTCAGGACTCAGCCTTGGAGCGCAGAGGCTGAAACAACACCTAGGCTTTTATGGAGCCTTCAGACAGAGCCCTGCATGGAACTGTCCAAGGTGCCACGGAAGGCTCTCCCTCGAAGCAGAAGAGACTCAGAAAAGTTCAGGTACCCCCTGCCCATTTCCTGACACTCGGCAAACTATCCTGTACTGGAGCAGAATATTCTGCAGGTCTCTTCTGCAGAAGAGCAGCTGCTGGATCAGGCCAAAGGGGGCCCATCTAGTCCAGCATCCTGTTCTCACAGTGGCCCACCAGATGCCAGGGGAAGCCCTTCTGAAGGCATTCCACATGGGACAATGAAAGTACCCATCCCCACAAACATTGTGCAAAGGCTGTTAATGGAGGGAACAAAGTGAAAAGTGCCTTAATATCAATGCTGGATGTTCCATAAACAAATTTCCCTTTGATTCCAAACCTATTTCGGTGGTCCCATTTGCTACCCAAAATTCACTGCTCCCAGTTCCACAGCAGAGCTAACCTCTGTAATGCATAGAAAGAAACTAACAGGACAATACAGTGGTACCTCGGGTTAAGAACTTAATTCGTTCTGGAGGTCCGTTCTTAACCTGAAGCACCACTTTAGCTAATGGGGCCTCCCGCTGCTGCCATTAGCGATTTCTGTTCTCATCCTGAAGCAAAGTTCTTAACCCGAGGTACTATTTCTGGGTTAGCGGAGTCTGTAACCTGAACCGTATGTAACCTGAAGTGTCTGTAACTCGAGGTACCACTATAGTTGCTTGATTAGCCTAGCAGCCACCTAAGAGTGTGCAGAGGAGGAACAAGCACCAAGCAACAGATGCTAGCCATGCCCACGGAGTCTTTCTTGGGCATCAGGAAGGTGAGGTGGCTGCCCAACATTCCTACTGAGCAGGCAGGGCCAAGCTGGGGCAAGTTTCCCATAGGCTTGTGGGTCTTCTTTTGGGGCATCTGGGTTTCTACTATGAGAATAGGATGCTGGACCAGATAGGCCATTGGCCATTGCCAGCAGTTCTTATGCTCTTGCACTCAGGTTGTGCTTGCAGGCTTCCCACAAGGATCTGGCTGGCCACCCTGAGTACAGGAATCATCCCTCTTCCAGGGTGAGGCTTTGCCAGGGATTCCCCATTCCTGGGCACTTGTTGGGCCGGGCCCAGTTCTGCTGCAAACACCATTTCCCAGGCCCACAAAAGGCCTTTCTCTACTATTATCATTAGGTAAAGGTAAAGGGACCCCTGACAGTTAAGTCCAGTCACAGACGACTCTGGGGTTGCGGTGCTCATCTCGCTTTATTGACCAAGGGAGCCGGCGTACAGCTTCTGGGTCATGTGGTCAGCATGACTAAGCCGCTTCTGGCGAACCAAAGCAGCGCACGGAAACGCCGTTGACCTTCCCACCGGAGCGGTACCTATTTATCTACTTGCACTTTGATGTGCTTCCGAACTGCTAGGTTGGCAGGAGCTGGAACCGAGCAACGGGTGCTCACCCCGTCACGGGGATTCGAACCACTGACCTTCTGATCAGCAAGTCCTAGGCTCTGTGGTTTAACCCACAGCGCCACCCGCGTCCCTTTTATCTATTATCATTATGATGGCCTTAAATCATGGGAGAGCCTGGGAAATAAGATGACCTTTTTGGTTTAGAAAAGAGTAGAGCAAGAGGGAGGGAGGGACATTGCAGTGCTTTGGACTTTTTAATTTAGTTTAAGGGAATAAAAGGTGACATGGTAGAAGTTTATAAAATTATGCATGACTTGGAGAAAGTGAATAATGTTTTCTCCCTCTCTTATAACACTAGAACTCACAGACATCAAGTGAAGCTGATTGTTGGAAGGGTCAATGCAGATGTTTAAAAAGGACTTATTTATGCAGTGCAGAGTTAAACTGTGGAACTCACTCTTGCAGGAGGCAGTGATGGCCACCAATCTGGGTGGCTTCCAAAGAGAATTGGACAAATTCATGGAGGAGAAGGCTACCGATGGCTACTATGGTTCTGAATATCAGTTTCTGGAAGCCACAGGAGGGGAGAGGGCTCTTGTGCTCAGGTCATGTTTGTGGGCTTCCCAGTGAGGCATCTGGTTGCTCTCTGGGAGAACAGCTGGACTAGATGAGCCCTGCTGGCTTGATCTTTGTATGTTCCTATGTGCTGTAGTTCATCAATTCCAGCAGCTCAGAGTTTCTTCCCTCCGCCTCCTGCCTTTGCACCCAGCATTTAGCAAGGGGCAAGGGGAGGCACACAAGGATCGGCAGTGCCCATTGGCCCTTGGAAGAGAATATTGCCCTGGCAGCTGATTAGACTGCCGGGGGAGATCTGGCAGCTGGAGAGACAGAGAGACAAAACCAGAGAGACAGGGCAGAGCAAGAGACCGAAATTCAGGGAGACAAGTCTAGCACTAATGATGTTTCCCCCTTGGCCAGCACTTTGACACCTCCTTTTTCAACATCACTTGCAATTTCTTTCTCCCTGATCTCCTGAGACACATCCCTGCCCCTGTGTCCAGCCCTAGCAGAGCGTCACGTGCCCTCCCACCCCCACGCAGACACATACGCCTAGACCAGCTCCCTTCCCCTGCCTTCCTAAGCAGGCCTCTCTTCTTGGCTCCAAGTCAGCTCCAGGTTGCCTGGTCCATTGGGGCCAGATGATTGGCAGGATCCCCATCCTGTCTCACAGTGGCAGACATGAGGGATGGACCAGCATGGCCAGCACTGTCACCTTCCCCAACAGCACCCCATCTGCGTTAGAGTAATAGAATTGTCGAGCTGGAAGGAACCAAAAGAGCCATGTAGTGAAACTCCCGGCAAGGCAAGAATCACAGCTAAACTATCCTTGACCTCTGTTCAAAAAATTCTAAGAAAGAAGAGCACAACATCTTTCAAGGAAGTTCATTCCCTTGTCAAACAGCTCTTACTGTCAGAAATTTCTTCCTGATGTTTAGTCAGAATCTCCTTTCTTGTAACTTGAATCCTTTCATTTGGCTCCTACCCTCAGAAGCAGCACAAAACAAGCTTGTCCGTCTTCCCCATGACAGCCCTTCAGATATTTGAAGACGGTTCTCCAATCACCTCTCAGTCTTCTCTTCTCCAGGCTAAACGTTGCCAGCTCCCTCCACTGTTCCTCACAATTCTTGCTTCCAGACCCCTGATCACCTTGGTACCCCTCCTTTCCACACTTTCCAGTTTGTCAATCACAGGACTCCAGGTGGGGTTGAACCAAGACAGAATAGAGTGGTACTATTGCTATTACTTTAAAAAGAGGGAAAGTTGACAGCTATGGTTTCCCCAAGAACACTCGCAGCATGCACCCAAATCACTGCGTCAAAGCAATCCATCCTCAGAGATGCTGGAGACTCCATCAAAAACCACACACACCCAAAACTCAGAGCTACAAATGGACCACAATGACAATGTTTCATTGGTGAGCCTAGAATGCTGAGCCTGTTTTCCTTAGTGACCTTCCTTTGGAAATAAACTCCAGGGCTCAAGGCCTTCCTTCCTAGGTATCTTCTCCCACGTTTGAAAACTCTGCTCATAACAAAACCCACATTTCACAAACCATTCATGAGCCCCAGGGGCTTTGCCATTAGGAAACCTGGCTTTGAAGGAATGGGTTTCTGTGCAGTCAGTTTGGAACTGACCCAAAATCCGCATTTTTCCTTCTCCAAGGGAGCATTTCTAAAATGCATTAACTTGAGCTGTTGAGCAAATGCGTAACAGAAACCCAGCTGTATAAACAAGTGCTCAAAGCCCTCTCCCTTATCAGTCCGTGACGGCAATGTATGGCCTTGACTGTTCCAGTGGAGCAGGGATGGCGCATCTGGGTCTTATCTTATGTCCTGACCACACTCTGACGCACAGGTCTAGTCCGGGAACAGCGCCAAGAGAGTTGGTGACCTTCTTACCCCAAGATAAGAGTGCTGGAACAGGAATACCCTTATATGGTCAAGAGTACAGGAAGAGGAACACCCTTTTATGTTTAAAAGTACCGGAGCAGGAACATCTGTGATGTCAACCTGCGTGTATAAGCTGACGTGGCTGGATTCCTGGGGAAGGGGGGAGAGGGTGCCTGGAGGATATATATACTCCATGAAATTTTTCATTTCTTTGGACTTGCTGTGAGCTGACCATGCAAGTACCTTCTGCTATCCGGAGAGCAGAATAAACTCTTTCTCTGAACCAACCCTCAGTGTCATTTGACTTCCTTCCTCCCGTCCGGGAGCAACGCTCACCCTACCAACTGGTAAAGTCCAATAAGGCTACAGCTTCACAGTGAGGCGGTCCTTACCGGCAGAGGGGGTCCGACCTGCACAGGCTGCGGAGCTCCAGGCAGTTGGGCTTCTCCTTGTCCTCGTAGGAGCAATGGGGGACGATGGTCTGTCGGCGTCGCTCGGCGCACGCCTGGTCCCTGCAGGAGCAGAAGAGCAGCCGGTAGGTGTACTCGTGGGGCACGCGGTCGAAGAACTGGCGCAGGGCTTTGTGGCACTTGCGGCGGTTGCAGCGCTCCGTGGAGGAGATCTCCTTGTTGCAGATGGAGATGTAGCTCGAGCGGAGGCGCTTGCAATTGTCGTTCAGGTTGCAGGCTTTGGCTGCGTCGAGGCAGTGGTTGCTTTTGGCGTTGGCAGTCGAATCCATCCCTGTCCGGGAAAAAGAGGGAAAGGGGTTACTGGGCATAAGAACAGCCTGCTGCTTCAGGCCAAGGAGCCACCTAGTCCAGCCTCCTTCTCTCACTGTGGCCAATCACAAGAGCCCTTTCCTCCCTGTGTGATTTCCAGTAACAGGTATGCAGAAGCATCGCTGCCCTCGACTGTGGTGGTACAACATAGCTATCATGGGTAATAAGAAGAAGAAGAAGAAGAAGAAGAAGAAGAAGAAATTTATTTATACCCCGCCCTCCCCGGGCTCAGGTCGGCTAACACCAATAAAATCACAGTAAAAACATAATGGGGGGGGTCAATTTAAAATACAGTTTAAAATGCAGCCTCATTTTAAAAGTAGCCAATAGATCAAGACCATAAGGGGAGTGAAACATAAGGGTCAGACTGAGTCCAAACCAAAGGCCAGGTGGAACAGCTCTGTCTTGCAGGCCCTGCAGAAAGGTGTTAAGTCCCGCAGGGCCCTAGTCTCTTGTGACAGAGCGTTCCACCAAGTCGGGGCCAGTACTGAAAAGGCTCTGGCCCTAGTTGAGACCAATCTAACCACCTTGCGGCTCAGGACCTCCAAAGTGTTGTTATTTGTGGACCTTAAGGTCCTCCGTGGGGCATACCAGGAGAGGCGGTCCGATAGGTATGTGGATCCTAGGCCGCATAGGGCTTTAAAGGTCAAAACCAGCACCTTGAACCTGAACCTGCAAGTCCTAGGCTCAGTGGTTTAACCCACAGCGCCACCCGCATCCCGACAGAAGGCGGTAGGAGCCCCCAATAGCCCTCTCCTTTATGAATCTGTCTAATCCTCTTTTAAAGCCATGCAAGTTGGCGGCCATCACTTCCCCCAGTGGCAAGGAGTGCCATAGTTTGCCTATGGACTGTCTGAAGAAGACCTTTCTTTTATCTGTCCTAGATCTTCCGTCATGCACCACAGGATTCTCTGGGCACTTCCAGACTGGTCCTTTATAATGTGGACTTTGGGTGATCTGTGGCCTTGGTGCTTTGAGGTGTGCGAGAGAGACATGCACCCCTCCTCTAGCTGCTCTCTGGGGTCCTTTTGCAGCAGGTGGGGTTCTTATCTATGCTCTGGGAACAGCAGGTTGCAGCCATTTGAGAAGGAGAACTCCCAAGCATGGCATCTGGGTCCAAGATTACATGCATCTCTGATCCAAATTGAAGGATGTGCACCTGGGAGATTTGGCATAGGTACCTCTAAAATGCTCAGAAGGGGCAATCAAGCGAGAGAGAAGGGACTGGCACAGAAGCATCATTGTGGGGCTTGCCCCCCCATCCCTTTCCTTCCCCTCCATCTAGCTGTTCCCTCTCACCAAACCACAGAAGCACTGACCCACTAACTCTGTGGCTCCCCAAAAAACATTGTTCAGAACATCAATTTGCACAACCCGTAAAGGAAGGTAATAGCACAATAAAATTCAAAACAGTAACAGTTATTCAAAAGAAGTTATTCAAAAGAAAAATTAGTATTTCATTTAATTGATTCAACAAAACTGATCCAGCGAGACCAGCTTTTCAAAGTCTAATAGTCATTTACACCTCCGCCACCACATCCCCCACACCCCCTTGCCTCTTAGCACCCCCTGCCCACTTTGGGTAACACTGAGACCCTCTAGGGCTGACAACAGCAGAGCATTCTGGAGCCCTAAACTATTTAGTCAAAAGATTTCTAGGGTGCCCATCAGTGAAACTTGCAGGCCAGCATAAAGGTAAAGGGACCCCTGACCCGTAGGTCCAGTTGTGGCCGACTCTGGGGTTACGGCGCTCATCTCGCTTTATTGGCTGAGGGAACTGGCGTACAGCTTCTGGGTCATGCGGCCAGCACGGAAACGCCGTTTACCTTCCCACCGGAGCGGTACCTATTTATCTACTTGCACTGGTGTGCTTTCAAACTGCTAGGTGGCAGGAGCAGGGACCGAGCAACGGGAGCTCACCCCGTCGTGGGGATTCGAACCGCTGACCTGATCGGCAAGTCCTAGGCTCTGTGGTTTAACCCACAGCGTCACCCACGTCCCACAGGCCAGCATACAACAGGAATAACAGAGCATCAACTTTTTAAAAGGAAAGGGGGAAAATCACAATTGAAAATGCAGAACTGGACAAAAGCAGAAAATGCAGCAGAGCTTAATGAAGGCCTCTTCCAGCTCACAGTCATCCCTGGAGGGGCTCCTCTGCCCACTTTCTCAAGGGTTTTCCTGGAAACCGCAGCTGAAACTGGACAGAGGTGGGCAGCAGGGAGACTCCACATGCCCCCAGTGGACCGACTTGCTCCACCAAAAGCACCAGAAGAAAGGGACACGGCACATCTGAAGCTGCCATTAACCCGGCAGCACCGAGCTGGGCTGGGTCATGTATGTGTTGTATAGTGGAGAAATATGACCCCCCACCCAAAGTGGAAAATCCTCTCCTGCCAAGGGCAGTTGAATTCTCAGCATCTGCCCTGCATCACCAAATATTGGCATAAACAGAGGAGGTTGCGAGACTTCCGGTCGGCGCCAGCGTTTAATGGCGGTCCTTGCCTCGAGCTCCGAGGGAGGACTGCTCCGCGAGTTCGGGTCTGACCCGCTACGGCGAGCGGGGGACCCTTAAAATCACAGGCGCTGAAGCCTGTGAACAAGGAGACTCGGCGGGCACCTTTCGCGCCCCCCGGTACTGCAAAAGAGCCTTTTTAAAGGCTCCGGAGCGGCATTGGGTGTGAGCGTGGTGCTGAGAGTCGTAACCCAGCCTGCGGAGTGAAGCCGCGTCGCCATTGAACGGAGAGCGCCGATTCCTTCTTGAAACTACAATTTGATCATAAAACCCGTGAGTAAGATTGACAGACGGGAACGGGACATTTAAATTGAATTTTGGAAATTTGGCTGAAAACGGGAAAGGCATAAAGTAAGGAAGTCTGCCTCCCCGGACTGCATGGTAATTAGAGCAACGAAAGAGCAAGCTGCACTTAAATGAAGGTTAACTTTTTGGCTGTCAAAACCTGACATCTGAATTAAACTTCCCCCAAACAAGCAGGAGAAGGGGGGAAGGAAATTTGGACATTGCAAACCTGCGGGAAATAAATAGAGGAAAAAGATCTTCCACTGCCAAAACCCTGAGACGGGCTGCCGAAGTAAGGCACCGGGAAAGTGAACTGTCAATTTAAACTGGATACAAAGTTGGGGTTTTGACTGAAACAAAGTTATGAGACTTTAATGGAGTTATTTTGTTGAACTTTTGAGGATACTGAAACTGTAATAAGAACTTTAACTGTGGACTTTTGGACTCTTTGTTCTCTGCCTCATGTTTTTCTGACTTTTCTTAACTGGATACAATTAAATGCTCCCTCTAGAGGATTTAAAGAGAACCTGTCACAGTGAGAGAAAAAGAGTGGATTTTTCCACTGGCAAACTTTTCCTGTGAGAACTGACCTTGAGGATATGAGTGGCCAACCAGAAGAGATAACAACTAGAGCAAAAGCAAAACAAATTCAGCAAGCTCAAAAGAAAAGGGGTTCGATGCAAGGCATAACACCAGCTGGTCAGGAAAAAGTAGCAACTGCATCTATGGAGTCAATGACACAGGCACTGCTCAAAATAAATCAGTCTTTGGAAGCATTGACAAAGCAGTCAGTGGAGAATACAAAAAAATTGAATGATTTGACAACAAGATTGGACTTGAATACGGCAAGTGTAGCTTCTAATACAGAATCTATAAATAAATTGATCCAAGAAAATTCTGAAACAAGAAAGATTGCTCAAAGTGCAAAAGATACTGCAGATGAGACAAAGAGGGAGCTTGCACCGATTGCAAAAAAGGTGAATGAACATGATGCAACCTTAGCTTTGTGGGAACTTCAGAGAAAGGAGAAGAATTTGAAATTAAGATTGGTTCCAGAGAGCGAGAAAGACAATCTTGCGGAATTCCTCACAGAAAATATCTTGGAATTTTGGCAGGACGAGTTACAGGAGGAAGAATTTGAAATAACAACGGCCTTCCGGTTGGGCAGAAGGCAAGGCAAGAAGCCTAGGGATTGTCTGATTACACTGAGATCTAAAGAAGAAAGGGACAAAATACTGGACTTACATTACCATAAGGCTCTTGAAATTCAGAATTGTCAAGTTCAGATCTTTAAAGACATCCCTAAATATATCTTGGAGGTGAGGGCCTTCTACAAAGACTTGGTTTACCTGTTGAAGAAGAATAATATACTTTTCAGGTGGGAGTTCCCACAAGGATTATCTTTTAACTACACAGGAAAGAAGATCAAAATAAAAACAGTCCAAGATAAAGAACTGTTTTTGGAAAGATACCAGGAGGGTCTGCAGAAAGGAGTAATAGAAACAACAGGAGACAAAGAATTGACAGACTTACATCGGAGGAGGAACAAAAACTTGGAGCAGTTGGAGGAATAGGCACATAGCAGTACAATGTCTCTGCAACTTCTTAGCTGGAATTGTAATGGTTTGAACCTTCCCAGAAAAAGACGCCAAGTTTTTCATATTTTGAAGAGAGAGCAATTGGATTTAATATGTCTACAGGAAACGCATGTGACCAGGATACACAGGAAATTACTTGTAAACAAGAGACTTGGACAAGAATTTATCTCATCAGACAAGGTCAAAAAAAGAGGCGTCGTGATTTATGCAAAAGAAAAATTGGCCCCTAAAATGATATTTAAAGATGAACAAGGAAGATATCTGGCAATAGAAATACAAGTTCAAGGAGAAAAAATTATGATATTGGGAATATATGCACCAAATGAAGGGAAGGCGGAATTTTTCAAGAAGTTGCATGAGACTTTAATGGATTATTTGGACTTTAAAATTATAATGATGGGAGACATGAATGGCGTTGTCTCCACTAATATGGACAAGGCACAGAGACAAATAATTTCTAAGGATGGAAGACTACCAAAGACTTTTTCGAAATGACTGAAACACTGGACTTGATTGATATTTGGAGAGTAAGGAACCCTCTGGAGAGAGAGGGAACCTTTTTCT